AGGGTTTAGGGTTTAGGCTTAGTTCCTTAACCAGACGAGAACCCTTCGACGCATGGGCTGCAGCGGGGCCTAGGAAGATTGTGAAGAAGCCCATTGATGTGCCTCAAGTCCAGTACGTGGACAAAATCGTCAGGAGCTCAGAGCAAGTATCTCCCTTGAAAAACTTTGGGTTAAAGTGTTCTTAGGGCTTTAGGGCACAGGGTTGTGGGATGTAGGGATACAGGCTTCTCTGCGGCTTTATGCATGGTTATGCGCGGTTTCTTTCGGGCTTCTTAAACCGAGGGGCCCTTTTCAGCGGTGCTTTGTAAAAGGATCCTATCATGTAGAGTCTACACTAGATCTCGCTTATTTCTCATTATGATATGCCCCGGAACTCCATGTCATGTCCTGGCAGAACCAGAAACCCTAAACCCCTAAACCCTAAATCCGTCCAACACCTTTGCGTTCTTTGCCGCACAGCCTCCCCATATCCTGGGTTCAGGGCCTACTAAACCCCTACGCCCTATCCTCAAATCTACAACCCTCATCTTCAAACCCAAGATCCCTTTAAAAGCCCTTAACCTAAAATTCCTCATTCCGAACCTCATAGCACAAAGCGCAGCTTCTAAGAAACCTGTAAGCTAGCCACCAAAACCCTACCGTTGCCTTCCCAAGGTTCATGTTCAACAAAACCTACACCCTAAGGACCTAAACCCTAAACCCTAAACCCTATCCTCGCCTTCCCGAGTTGAAACCCTAAACGGGTTTAGGGTTTAGGGTTTAGAGTTTAGGAAGCCCTAAATTCCATCCCCTTGCCTTCCCAAGGTGGATGTTCCTATCACGAAGCAGAGGCATGTCCCAGTCATCCAGAAGGTGCCGAAGACCGTGGAGGTGACTCCGCGGGGTTTTTGCGCCGATGCTTTCGAGTTTACGGGTTTCGGGCTTGGGGCAGTAGAGTTCAGGGCTTCGGGTTTAGGTTTTTCAGTTTGCGGTTTAGGGTTTAGGGTTCATGTTATAGGTATAAAGTCTAGGCTTGTTGGTTCAGGGTTTCTTGCTTCGGTGGTCCGCGGCATTAAGCTGGTCATTCCAAGGAAAGGAACTATCAGGAACTATCATAGGGGTCAACTGGCAAAACTATCCGCTTATAGAGTCCATCTACTGTTATGCGATGTTATACTAGAGTATACCGCTTCAAAGCCTTCCTCTACTCTTTATGAGACTGCTTCATTTAACCCTTGAGAAGCTCGGTTACAGTTAGGACACTGACACTGTCGCAGGCTTGTAGCAAGAAGCCTTTGACATGATAGATCCAAAACCATAAACATCCCAAAGCCTTTACACCCCTTGACAGTCCGTAACCTAATTTTGGACCTAAAATCTGGAAAATAAAGCTCAAGCCCTAGAACTGCAAACCATGAACCCCTTCAACAACCATAAAATAGGGGCCTCAATAATTACCTGTAAAAATTTGGGGGTTCCTTATTGTAATTCTAGTATAGTATTCCAAGTATTACCTAGACCCCCAACTACCCTCTAATGTACCCTAAATACACTATTGAGGGCCATAAGGGCTCTATTAAAGGGGTTTTGGGGGGTCCTAGTAAGGCCCCTACATAAGATCCGATTGCCACCTCACGGCCATTCAGGTCCCTGTGCTTGAGTACGTGGATCACCACGTCCACGTCCCTGCCAGAGCCCTAGACAGCCATCGCGCTCAGAAACCTGGGCCTGGGATTACCCATAATTACCTAAACCCCTAAAAACGGGTGTAAAATAATGGCCCAAAAACTATAACCAGGGCCCTGGATTACCCATAGTTACCTAAACCCTTAAAAAGTGTAAAAAGTGTCTAAAATATTGGCCCAAGAGCTGTAACAGGCCGTCATTCTACATTCTTTTGCTGGTTGCCCGATTTCATGGTATGGGACCCTGACTATAACCTTGGGTAGAAGGAACTACGTTGGAGACTACAGCCCTAAACCCTAAACCCTCAAACCTTGTAGGTAGGGGGCAGGTTCCCCGAATCATATGTTCGGTCTCTGGCTTCCGACAGGCATGGAGGTCGTTTGGTTTGTAGTAGGTTAGAAGTAGGGCTTAGGGCTTAGGGTTTAGGGCTTAGGGCTTCGGGTTTAGGGCTTAGGGCTTACGGCTTAGGCTTTAGGGCTTGGGGTTTAGGGTTTAAGGCTTTGGGTTTAGGGCTTAGGGTTTAGGGCTTAGGGTTTAGGGTTTAGGAAGCCGGGTTTAGGGTTCAGGGTGCAGGGCTTTGGGTTTAGGGTTCAGGGTTTAGGGTTCA